CGTCTGCCACTGCCTGAAGGTTTGGCAGCCTCATCAGTCTTATTCTTGGTTCATTCACCCCAAGTGAATCATATTGAATCCTCCAATCCTCTGGAAAGGTCCTCAACTCATCCAAAAGCCCTTCTTGCTGCTCCCCTCACTCATCCCTCTTCCAAGACTTTCCGAGGCACGCACGCCCCGCAAGATCCGGGCCAAGCGGAGCGCGCGCATCAAGCCCATGGAGTTGGTGCCTTCCAAGTTCAAGGACTGCGCCGACCAATCCACCACGGTCTCGAAGAGACTGAAGATCACCTCGGGTCAGAGGTCACCTTCGACCCGGATGCCGAGTCAGATGGAGGATGGTGGACTCCAGGCTGGCGGCCGACTCGGGGATCTTTTGGGCTCGACCACCGCCCGAGCTGCGATGCGACTCGGCCGTTTTTCCACGCCCAGCGAAGAGTCAGCCACACAGTTCAAAACTGGAAGGCGGGACCCGACAAAGGACTGTTGGGGACACCACCTGTGCCAGTCCACCGGGACACCACATTCTGAATATTCAAGTGAGCAACGACGGTGAAGTCGAAGGCGTTCCACACCGAATCCGCACCTGGAGGGGGAAGTGATTAGGCAACACACAATAGTACGTACATATGACATATTGCAGTATACATAAAATATTATAGAGATAACTATAGACTATAGAGCTATGATGATATGATATGTAGGCAATATGTAGCAATTGTTATATAGATATTATAGAGATATATTGTATATTTTTTACAGAGATGCAATTACTTGTTAGTAGTCTATTTTGACAATTGTGGGTTACTCTCTGTGGTTCGTGTGTCAAACGTCAGTCAATCGACAAGGGTGTTCATGAGCCTCCCGTGGTGCGTGGATGCCTGCAACATGGGTGCTCATTGCTGGAATCTGATAGAATCTGTGACCCTTGTGACTTCTCGCCATGCCGTGCCGTCGGTGCCCACCTCTCCAGAACTTGCGACAGCCCAACGCCAGTAGCTTCAGCGTCGTTTCTCCAAGGAAGGCAAACACGATCAGCGCGTTGACGATGCCGAACCACTGGGGGATCTCCGTCAACGGCAGCTGCGCCGCCACGTCGATCTCGACGCCCAGCAGAATGCCATTCAGCACGATGAGGCACATGATCTGCGCGAGGAAAACAACGGAACACCCCCGGTACTGTGGAGGTCATGTGGCACCAGCTGTATGTTATATATCTAAAATACGAATGTGTGATAGTGTGCGATTTCAATGTTAAGTTTAATCTGCTTCATTCCAGGAGCCACTACGCCGAGCCGCGACGTAGCTGAACTTCGGCGAGGCCACCAGCTTCCGCAGCTGGCCGCGCCAGTTCAGGTCGCCCAAGGAAGTCGTCGAAGCACCCCGCGCACCTCCACTGCGAGACGGAAGTGCGCTCGGAGGACGGAAACGTGTGGAAAGCACAAAGGACCCACTTCTGGATTGGCGGCCCCCTTCCAAATAAAAACTAGAATCAAATGTCACTTCTGTTGACAAGTTTGGATCCACCGCAGCATTCGAACAACCCTCGTCCAAGTTTTTGCAGGTTCAGCGCAAGCCTTCCATCTGTGCGCGGGATGCCTGCCGCTGCCCCTCCAACTGGCGCTTCAGCATGGCACCTGAGTGCATTGTTACAGTGGCCCATATCCCTGGTTAGCTGTCAGGGAAGAGACCAGTTGACACACCTGGGATGACGTGCGCAAGTATGATCAAGTATGCCACTTCGCATCAATCGCGCCCCCCAATCCTCTCTTTAGCACTCTCATCCCCGTCTCCGAACGTCCTCCCCTGCGTCCGTCCGTCCGCCGAGCTGCTCCGAACGAAGGTGTGCCGCCGGCTCTGCACGCTGTCGCGCGTCGCACCGCCGCGAGCCACGGGCGTGGAGCCGTCGGGTTCGGTGCCTTGGGACTCGTCGCCGCTCGGGTGCAGCGTCGCGGCGCCAGGGACGCAGAGTGAGACGCCCTCGGAGCTGATGCCCGTCGGAACCTGGCGGTTGCGGCGGAGGTTTGAGATCAGCTGAATCTAGGGCACTTGATCCAACCAGTTCACATAAGTTCACTCTGTCTTAAAAATATGTTATATACTATGTTGCTTCCTTTAAAGGAAACTAGAGGTGACTTGGGAACTTCTTGACCAAGACTTCAAGCACCACTAAGACCTCACGCCGTGCCCCACCTGGGAACCGCATGTCTTGATGGCTGCAGTGAGTTGTTCCAAGAGTTGAGTTTGCCTCGGGCAAGCAAGCAGCAGCTTGGATGACAGTTCTTGGAACATGGGGTTGGATGGATTGGCAGGTGTTGCTGTTAAAGCCTGGAGAAGCCTTGTCAGAGTTGGGGGTGTTGCCACACCAACAACTTACAGTACATCCATGCTCTTCAGCCTTCCAATGCTGAAGCCAGGCTCCTAGAGTCACGTCTGATTCGCATGCTTGCTCTCAAGCCTGGGCCGGTCGGCTGTCCAAACAGACCTATGTATATATATAGAAACATTGTCCATTGTCCTTGTTCACGGGTGAGTGTCAGGAGTCCATCGACAGTCGAAGTGTGTCGAACTCGCTCTTCGGCGACCTTCCGCGACCGTTGTTCGTCGGTACGTCGTTCGAGTTCACAATCGTCAGTGTGCCAGGAATGGTCTCTCGATGTCTCGTCTTTCGTTCCAAACATCGTCCAGACTCGGTCGGAGTCTGGATGCCCTACATAACCAGCTGCATGATGCTGCATACCAAGCTGCGTTTCAAATTGCACGTCCAAGTACCTGAGCATCCAAGACCAGGAAACACCGGCGCAGCCGGGACCTATTGAATAGTCTATTGAATAGGCGAATCGGTCCAGCGAACATGCCATTGGACCATCATGGACCTCAAACAGGCTACTCTTAGCACTTATACTCAGAGATTTGATGAGATTTGTGCAAACTTGACCATCAGCATGAAACCAGCTGCCTCTATCACCATATCGGCAAAATTCCATACAATTCCCAATCCTCAGCCAAGAGACCTTCTCAACTTACCGAAGTCACCCTCCATTTCAGACTCCTCTTCCAGCTGCAGCCTGCTAAACCTGGTCAACACTAAGGGTGCTCTCCACATGTCACAAGTGCAATGCTCCAAAACCCAACTAGGTCCAGGACCTACGGCTTGAAGCAAGCAAAGTCATATTTTATTGACATGTCATGGATGATGAACCTGATGAACTTGATGATTTTCATCACCTGTGGATTCCACCGCTTGTCACGCGGTTTTATCCCTTCTCGTGTCTTGTCTCCGCGCCTCGCCATGGCGCCCAACACTCGGCTCGGTCGGTCGGCGTTTCTGTGGTCCAAATGGCCAAGGAGTCAAGAAAAGGCTAAAGGCTTAAGGGGAGGGGGCTTAAGGGATCTTAAGGGGGTATAAGTTCGGGTGAAGCTTGAAAATTGACAGCGTTTCTATGGCTTTCTGAGGCTTGCCAGGCCCATCCACAGGCACGGAGCGATTTTTGAGCGGGCACAGACGGAACAAACGAAGGTCATTGTCAAGAGGCTCGCGCACCAAATGCACAGCATACAGTAGTGTTGCATGAAACCGCTTGTCCCAATTGTTGGTGTGCCAACCTGACTTGATATGAGGTGAAACCACGCGGCACGGAAAATATTGATCAAATCTGGCAGCACAGGATTGCGCCATAAGGCACTGAAGCTGCACCTGCTTTCAGAGTTCGTCCCAAGCCCTTGAACGATGATGAACGATGAAGCCTTTTCCAAGCCGAAGGGGCTGCTAGAATGGGCTGGAAGCATCTACAAGTCTAGAAGCACTGGAGTGTGTGTGGCACTGGTGATGCCCCCTCAAAGAACTTCCTTCACCATGCGGTACTTCAATCCCGACTTCACCATTCGGGTCAGCTGCATCACGTCCTCGTGCAGGTGCTTGATCGCTTGCCCTAGGGCGCCCACGACTCACACCGCGGCCCTTCGCGGTGCGACTCGTGAACCACCGCGGTGTTTTCGTGTGGCACTGCATGGTTTGACTCCACCCGGTCGCGAACAGGAGACGAAGGAGACGAGTACAAAGAAACAGGGTGAAAAAGGTATGTTGAAAAATCCTGCATGAAATCGTCTGCACGTTCGACGGGTGCCGTGGAAGACCCAATCCAGTTAGACACCTGTTCACCCCGATATGTCGCCTACCAACAGGAACCCTATTGCATCTTATAGCCTATTGCCATCCATTCCCCCCCAAACGCCAAGGCTCTGGTGACTTTGTTTTCGTAGCCTTGGCCGTGCAAGGACTCGTGCAAGGCTATCGCCCATGTGGAGAGTGCGGGGGATGGGGCGCTCGTGGGGGCGCGATGGGTGTGAATGAAGAAGGTCACCTGCCAAAGTCGCAATGCCATTCGCCGTTCTGGCCGACGGCTCGATGCCTGGTTCATCGCTTTGGGAAACCGCTGGGCTGCAGAATGGTTCGGCCTCACCGATGCCTAAAGTGTTCCTTCAGTCCCGTCCCGTCCGCGGGGTTTTGTCTAGACTAACTATATATATATATATATATGAGGGACGGTCAAAACTCCTTATTCTTCTTCAACAAAATAATGGACGTAATCGGTTTTGAGTTGGACCTTATCGTTTTACAGTGTTTTGAGTTCGTCGCATACTTATGATCATATACAGCGCTGGGGTTATCGGTTTTGAGGTGGACCTTATCGTTTTGCAGGGTTTTGTGCACAAACCTACCCCTCTTTACTAAAGTGGTCTTCGCATGTTTTGACCGTGGCACATATATACCAATCAAGTTTTTCCGACAACAATTGGGAGCGAGTCTGCGCTTGGCACTGGATCACCAAGTCAACAAGACTGGCAAGCTCCAACAGAGAACAAACATACCGGACCACCGACAATACCAACTCCTCCCGCAAACGAACGTGCGGATCAGACCCTCTCCCAGCTTCCAGGACAACCCCCTCCAAAGCTGAGGAGCTCATCTTGGCGACCTGTAAGCTCTTGGCCGGGCCTCAAAGTTGCATGCACCCGGTCACGAACTCCTCCAAGTCCAAAACGCCGTTGGAATCGGAGTCGATGAGTAAGAAAAGGCTCCACACCTCACATCGCGCGGCATGGGAGCGATGTGACCAACCAGCGACGGGATGAAGTCATCCAGGAATCCGCCCGCACCGAAGGTGCTGAGGCGTTTTTATAGGGCACGCGTTATACCGCAAGTACCGCAAGTAGTACTGATAGCTTTAGCTAGGGGGGGGGGGCATTTTCGCTTTAAAATCCTATGTTTTTCACGGTTTTGGAACCGGCTTAAAGTGCTGGAAGATAAATTCGTGCTAATGTTTGCTATCTTGAAGCCTTTAGGGATGCAAGACATGCAATTTTCTGCTTTGCATCATCTGCATCATCTGGACATTTGGCTGAACAGGTTCCCCTAACGGGGCTCAACATAGCTTCCATATTGCGTAACCACTATCTAACGGACGCGTCTGCGAGATAGGGACTTGAACGTCCGGGTACGTGGCTGGTCAGGA